TGGGATCTGGCAGTCTGCTGGAGGGACACTTGAAAGGATTGTGCCAAGGCCTTGGGAAGGAAAGGAAACAAGAAGAGATGATACATCTGAGCTCAGCAAGAGAAAAGCCTTTCAACTGACTTCCCAAGCTGCCAACTTCCTAGTTTAAAACAGTTACAGAAGTAAGGAAATTATATCCTATTTCTGCCCCCAGATTATCTTGTGGACTGGCCCCAATACTGTGTAAAATTTGCCCATTGGCAGACAGTGTCTCCTAAGCCCTGACCTGACCTGTCCACTCAAACTCATCCCGTTCTCTAACACTAAACATGTGGGGAGTAACCTGGTGGGAAATACTTTTTCTTTGTTTTCTCCTTTAGATATTGCCATGCCCAGCGGTCACCCTGCTGAGAGGACACATGACTCTTCCTCTGGCAAAACAAATGTGTCAGTCTACTACTGTAAACACTGTGAAATGAACATCTGTGAATCGGGCAGTTTTCAAGGATTTGTAAAAATTGCTGAAACAGAAAACGTAACGTTTCAAAATGGAATAATTAAGCTGGTGACCAGGGAAACACACATCCGTATGTGCTTTCAGCAAGCAAATACTTTTCCTGAAGGAATTTATGGCATCGTCTGGGTAAAAACCGGGGGATTTGGACACTCGTGTGCCATCCTGAATTCTACAGGTATGATCTGCTGGGAGCCTGGATATCAACAGATGGGACACATTTTTCTGGTGATGAAAGTGAACTGTTATACATTTGTGCAGACAGTGATGTTCATGAGTAAACTAACTTGACAGAATGAGTTTCTTCTCTTAAAAAAAAATAATTCAGAAAACGAATTGAATTCTCTCAGGTCAGACCCTGCTTAAAACTACACTAATATGGATTCAGATAAACACATATTATTCTGATTTATACAGGGTTTTTTTTCTGCCCCCTTTTTTTTTAGTTTTAGCATCAATTCTCATGGTCAAATTCTGTGTCAGTTTGTAATGTATGAATCCCGCCTCCTTCCATCAGTATAAATTGACTATTTCTCTCCTGTGTTTATGCTCACCAAAATATCTACATGCTGTTAGTCCTGTGAAAAGTTTGGGTGACACTGAAACCTCCCTGGTGAAAACTGGAAGTCACTGTAGCCAGGGGTGCCTGTGTCCCTTGAGAGGGTAACGGGTGGAGGTGCTGAGTCTGGGATGTGTAGGCAGGAAGGAGTTCTCAAGGTTCTCTTGGAAGAGGACTAAGTTCTATAACAGCCCAGTGGGATGCAGGGTCAGTGGGAGATGCACTCCGGGGTCTCTGAGATCTGCACAGCTGCTGGTCTTGCTTGTTCCCCCTCTTTGGTTCCTGTGGTAAAAGGGAGCTGCAAAATTGTGTCCTAATTGTTACTTGAATGGTTTTTAATTGCATCAAGGTAATGCTGAGCTTTAGCAATGTTTTGATATTCTTAATTACATGGGAGACTTTCTTTGCCTTCTTGTACATTGAGTATTTCCACTATTAGTTCTTA